TATATATATATATATTATAAGTGCACTACACATATTACATACTGTTGATGACCAAAAAGAAAACGTCTCTCAAACTTTTCTGCAGAAATCAAAACCCAACTTAATTAATAGTTTTTTTTGAATAATCTACATCATTAATTAATTTCTCATCTATTTTTTGCTTGAACTTCTTAGTTTATTAAAAGTGTAAAACAAGATGCTTTGGTTGTCATGGAATGTTTTTAAGCCATTATACTTTTATCAATGGGAGTTTAAACAAAGTACTAACAGTTCTACAAAAGGGAATATATATATATATATATATATATAAACATACATACATACATACAGTAGTTAAATTGCACGTGTAACATGTCTACACGAATAAACTTATAAATTTTAAATATAAAATAAAATATTTAAACGAGAAAAAATTATATCTATTATCAAAATTTATAATCAAGTGAAAATTCAATAAAAATATTAAAGATTGTTTTAAGAAAATAATTAATGAAATTTAGCTTTAATGAAATTTAAAAATCTTCACAGCACAAAAAGTTTTCAAAAATATTTATGATTAATCTAGCTAAGTTAATTGTACTGCACCAGTGGAAGGGAAGAAAAGAAAAAAAAAACAGAGTTCAACAAATCTAGAAAAGCAAAAAGGCAATGAAAAAATATAGGTAGACACTGTAGAGTTGAGAAATTGAAGCATATCCAACCAAAGAGTGAGAAAGAAATACAGATAAAAAGCATTGGACAAGCTTCATTGAGCGCACGTGGGCACATACACTCACAGAGGAAGGAACGAAAGCACGGACGGAAATACGGTCACTCAGACGAATGAACAAATAGGCGTACGAACAGACAGGTGCGAGTGCGGACGAACAGGCAAAAAAATAGATAGACGGGGCTACGAACGAGCGCCAGGACGGACTGACGCCCAAACAGACGGGCATGAGGAAGGATGGGAGCGCAATTGGATGGCCCCACGAACAGACAAACCCACAGATTAACGGACAGGCAAACGCACACACGCACACATGCAAAAAAGTTCTTGTGTCCTCTTTTTAGTAAACAAGAACGAATAGTTAATGGAGCATGATACAATCAAAGAGGGCTGAAATAAATATAATAAGATAGCAAAAGAGCAAAAATACAGAAACAACAAATAAAAAAGGCACAAGAAAGAAAGTTGTCTGTAGGGATGTAAAAAAGTCGAGCTTGAGAAAGCTCGGGCTCGTGTTCGGCTGGTTAAAAAATACCACTATTTGCGTTCAGCTCGTTTATATATCGAGCGCAAAAAATTTGCTCGTGTTCAGCTCATTTTCTTAGTGAGTAGAAAACAAGCTGCTCAGGAACAACGAGCATTTTTGACAGCTCTAATCATGCAGTCATATGATGTTAAGGGTATGAGTGAGATTCAAATCTTATTATTTATATTAAAAAAATTCATTTAAATAGAATTTAATATATTTTTATTCTATTTTTTATTAAAGATTTTAATTGATTATAAGTCTTTAGTAGTCAATTAAATTATTTAAAAATAACACTCATCAATTATATATGTATATGCATGTGTATGTGTGTGTGTGTATCTATATATATATATATATAGTTGTGTGTGTGTGATTTAATTATTTCGAGTCAAAATGAGCTGAAAAAGAACAAACAAATCTTGTTCTTGTTCGACTCATTTATATATCGAGCGCAAAAAAATTATTTGTGTTTGACTTGTTTGCCCAACGAACGAATCGAACACGAGCTGCTGAACGAGTCGAACACGAGCTGCTGAACGAGTCGAACACGAGTTGTTAGCGAACGAGCTGCTGAACGAGTCGAACACGAGCGAGCTGCTGAACGAGTCGAACACGAGTTGTTAGCGAACGAGCTATTTTGACAGCCCTAACCGTGTGTTTGTTTTTTAGTAGACAATTCTAACTATAGTCCGGAGATGTAAGAACCGTTGAAACAACCCAAGGTTTACCAAATTGTGCAGAAGATAACATTTTATAATGATATCATCACCATTTTGTCCCCCGCCCAAATTTCAAGCTATCAAATTTGACTCAATGCCTTTCACTCGTTAGAAACCAATATGACAATTCCCCTTAATTGCGTATTGTGAAATAGCGCAACCGCTGACTTAATAACCCAATTCTCAGCCCTATATTCCCCTTTTATTATTTAAATAGAAATGAGAAGAAATCATCCTTGCCCGTTATAGTTGAAACATGATACAACAGATAAAATATTTTGGGCAGGAGTCAAAAGAAAAGCCTGTTGCTGAGGAGTGACATTCTTAATCCTGATTAGTAAGATACTCCAGCAAGCTGTTAATCATGTCATTTAAAAAGCATTGTACTCTATTTATTCGTTTAGAATCCATTGGAAGCTTTAGCTATTGAAAATAAATAGACAAGAAGCACAATCAAGCCAAGATCCTGATCCTGCTAAAAAAATGCAAGCCTTGCACCCAAACCAAAGGGTGATGATGAGTTTTAGAGGGCAAAATGAAAATTGCATAGCCATGTTCAGGGTAAGTGGGTAAATTATGAACAGGAGATCAGAGATCTGAGGACTAGGAAAGAATGACTGAAATGTATCAATTTTCCTAGTATCTAACAAATCAAATTTTTAACTATGTATTCAGCAATACTGAGCTAAATTCCAGAAAGAAAAGCCTGTTGCTGAGGAGTGACACTCTTAATCCTGGTTTGTAAGATACTCCAGCATGCTGTTGATCATGCCATTTAAAAAACACTACTTTATTTATTCGTTTAGAATCCATTGGAAGCTTTAGCTGTTGAAAATAAATAGACAAGAAGTAGAATCAGGTCATGATCCTGATCCTGCTGAAAAAAGATGCAAGCCCTGCACCCAAACCAAAGGGTGATTATGAGTTTTAGAGGGCAAAATGAAGATCGCATAGCCAAGTTCAGGGTAAGTGGGTAAAGTATGAACAGGAGATCGGAGATCTGAAGACTAGGAAGGATGACTGAAATGTATCAATTTTCCTAGTATCTAACAAATCAAATTATTAACTATGTATTCAGCAATACTGAGCTAAATTCCCGAAAGAAAAGCCTGTTGCTGAGTGACACTCTTAATCCTGGTTTGTAAGACACTCCAGCATGCTGTTGATCATGTCATTTAAAAAGCATTGTATTTTATATATTCGTTTAGAATCCATTGGAAGCTTTAGCTGTTGAAAATTGATAGACAAGAAGCAGAATCAGATCATGATCCTGATCCTGCTGA